GGAAGGAAGGAAGGAAGGAAGGAAGGAAGGAAGGAAGGAAGGAAGGAAAGGACAGGAATGTATGTAGAAATCACACTAGGTGAGAAAATATGTCAGGGTTCATGGAATCAAATGTTGGCCATTTATACCTGTCTGCCGTTAGCAATTTGGGGTCAGTCTGCCTTGTCGCAGGTGGATATTAAATAGGACAAGGGCCAAAGGCTTTATGCTTTTCCGTTCCTGTGAGTAGTTTATAGCTGCTGTTTTAGTGGCTATTATGTTTTAGACAGAAGAAAGGAGAAGGTTGTGCGGTCCCCAAGATTACACAAATGTAATACCTTTTATTGGACCCACTAAATGCACAAAATAAGAGCCGGTGATACCCTTTATAGTGCTCAGCCAGATGAAGAGGGGTTCCTCCATGAAAGCTCGGAATTTGTTTGAATTTTTAGTGGTCCAATAAAAAGTATCACCAATTCTTACATTTGCACGATGTTTTAGTGGCTATAAAAAAACTTTAAACAAAGCCATTGTATCCTTAACGGAAGAACAACAGAGGACGCCACCTTCTAGGATCGAATGGGGCTCCGGCCGTTCTTTGCTTAGCCGTCTGCTATTGTTTGCTTCTCTGTGTGACTTGGATCACTGCCATGAGCCATCCAATTTAGACTTTGAAATTTTATTGGAATTGCCTGGTATAGTCACACATTTAATTCACTCTTAAGACATAATTTGGGTTTTAGAGAGGGCATCTGAGCTAACTTGAGTGAGAATAAATAGTTCATGATTGGGTTGAAAGCTAAATGAGTAAATGAGCTAACTGCTACTTCCAGTTATACTGTGGTTCTAGTTGGGGAAAATTCAAGAAACGGGGGCGGGGGGAGAGAAATGGATGTGGAGAACTCAGATTTTCCATGGTTGTCCAACAGGGGTAAAGACCCTGCTGTCTGATATAAAAACAACATGTATGGCTTCACAGAGTGTTGAAGACAGACCCTTGGAAAGTCTCCTGTTTGGGACACCTCCCCATAAATCCCCGGCTAGGGAAGCTGACCCTCTTCCCATGAGCTGGGAAATTCCAGGAGTTCAACAAAAGGAAAAAATCTCTGGGCTTTATTTAGTACAGAGCAAGCTGGCCATTCGGTGAGATTCAACCTGTGGAAAGATGGGTGCCCCTTGTCCTCAAGTTCCCTGAAAGTCTGCAAATACCCAACCATCTCCTGCTCTCTCTGCTGCCACTTGCTTGCCTCTTTCTTTAACAATTGGGGCCTAAGAGTAGCCTAAAATGAGTGGATTTCATGAGTGGAATGTCCAAAGAAAATGTTACACCTGTTGTGTGTCACTGCTTCCCTCCTCTGCACTTCTTGCTGGTTTACTGTCCCGGTTTTTCCTCAAGAGGCATTTTTTGGGTCCCTTTGGGACCGTGTTGCCAATTCTGTTCTCCAGCAGC